GCTACTACTGCTACTACTACTACTACTACTGTACTACTGCTACTAGCTACTATACTACTACTACTGTGCTACTGCTACTACTGCTACTACTACTACTACTACTACTACTGCTACTACTACTACTACTACTGTACTACTACTACTACTACTGCTAGTGCAGCTATACTTACCAGTACTACTTTTCATGTATTTTTACAACCCGCTGCTGCTGGTGATTTTACTGCTTCTGCGCCGTTTAAGACAAATGTGCTTTTCAAAATAAAACTCCTTTGTACATAGCAGCTTAGAAACTTGATTTATTATTATTTATTATTTTTATTTTTCAGCATAAGTCAGTCATTTCGTTACATGCAGTCGATTAAATCCTCCGAGCACTTCCTGTACAGGCCACACACTTCTGTCCTGTGTCACTTCTGTAAGTGTCAATGAGTCATTTACACATTTAGTGTGATGGTGTGAAGTGCGTACAACATGTGGAGCAGTGAAGAACACACTATTCTTTTTACTTCTGTGACTTATGAACAAACACAAATTATCAATAACAACAATTATACCACAACAACAACAACAATTATACCACAACAACAAAAACAATTATACCACAACAACAATAACAATTATACCACAACAACAGAAACAATTATACCACAACAACAACAATTATACCACAACAACAGAAACAATTATACAACAACAATTATACCACAACAACAATAACAACAATTATACCACAACAACAACAAAAACAACAACTATGCTACAGCTATACTACAACAACAACAACTACTATACTGCAACAACTATAATACAACTATACTACAATGACAAGTATACTACAACAACTATACTACAACTATACTACAATGACAAGTATACTACGATAAGTATACTACAACAACTATACTACAATGACAAGCAAACTACAACAACTATACTACAACTATAGTACAATGACAAGTATACTACAACAACTATACTACAGCTATACTACAACAACTTTACTAGTACTACTACTACAACTATACTACAGCTATACTACCTTAACTTTACAACTACAACAACTACACTACTACTACTACTTCTACTACTACTACAGACACGGTGAGACCCAAATTTTCCCCAAATATTTGTTTGGTTACAGGTCAGATCTGTGGAGAGGCGAGCCCACTCACAGTCAGAAGGTCTGTTTGTGTCTCTAGATATTTTTGAGCTCTAAAACCACATGTAACTGAATAAATGTAAAGTCAAACTGTTTAATGAACATTTGAACATTTCAGGCAGAGCAGTGACATCTCGAGAAACAAGAAGTTAACGGCGCCATCTGCAGGCCCACTTCAGAACTGTAGCCCAGAATACAAAAAAATATATGAATAATAATGATGATGAAAATATTATTATTATTATTATTATTATTATTATTATTATTATTATTATTATTATTATTATTATTATTATTATTATTATTATTATATTGTGACATTTGTATTTATCATTCAAAGGTTTGTTTTATCAGGTGTGTTTATCTGGTTCCTTCCCTCAACATAAAAATACACGATGTTCATCTGCAGCTACACCACTCTCCACTAAGTGTCAGTGTTGAGCTGTTTTCACTCCTGCAACTACTACTACAACTACTATTACTACTACTACTGCTACTACTACTACTGCTACTACTACTACTACTGCTACTGCTACTACTGCTGCTACTGCTACTACTACTACTACTACTACTACTACTGCTGCTGCTGCTACTGCAACTACTACTAAAACTACTATTACTACTACTACTGCTACTACTACTACTACTACTACTACTACTACTACTGCTGCTGCTACTGCAACTACGACTAAAACTACTATTACTACTACTACTGCTGCTGCTACTGCTACTACTACTACTACAACTACTCCAAATGTTACTACTGCTACTATTACTAATACTACTACTACAACTACAACTGTTACTGCTACTATTACTACTACTACTACTACTACTACTACTACTACTACTACTACTACTACTACTGCTACTACTACTACTACAACTGTTACTGCTACTATTACTACTACTACTACTACTACAACTGTTACTACTACTACTACGACTACTATTACTACTACTTAAAGTACTACTACTACTACTACTACTACTACTGCTACTACAACTACTTAAAGTACTACTACTACTACTACTACAACTGTTACTGCTACTATTACTACTACTACTACTACTACTACTACAGTTACTGCTACTATTACTACTACTACTACTGCTACTACTACTACTACTACTACTGCTACTACTACTACTACTACTACTACTACTACTACTACTGCTACTGCTACTGCTACTATTACTACTACTGCTACTACTACTACTACTACTACTACTACTACTACTACTACTACTACTACTACTACTACTACTACTACTACTACTACTACTGGTACTGCTACTACTACTACTACTACTACTACTGCTACTACTACTAATACTACTACTACTACTACTACTACTACTACTACTGCTACTATTACTACTACTACTACTACTACTAGTAGTGTTGTGTGCAAAGAGCCGAGACTGATCTAAGTCCTGGTTTAGTCCTGGTTTAGTCCTGGTTTAGTCCTGGTTTAGACCTTGTTTAGTCCTGGTTTAGTCCTGGTTTAGTACTGGTTTAGACCTGGTTTAGTCCTGGTTTAGTCCTTGTTTAGTCCTGGTTTAGTCCTGGTTTAGTCCTGGTTTAGTCTGTTATCTGTTTTTTTTATTTTTTTTTTTACATTTGTCATTTAAACACAAAGTCGAAAACTGAAAAAAAGAAATCGTTTTCTGTTTTTTCATTTTGGTTTTGGAGAAAAATTGTGAAGAAAATCATTGTTATTAACTGTTCATTTTGTTTTTATTTTGAAAAAGAAATGAACGAGTGATCCCTGTAAACTCGTAGGAGAATATTTTGATTCAGATCTAAACTCCCGGTGTAAACGTGGTCTGTGTTGGTCTTCGTGGTTGAACCGGTCGCTCCTCGGGCTCTGGGTTTTTTTTTGGTAATTTATTTGTTCCTTTTTTTCTGGTCACACGGAGCCGAGCAGCTTCACTGTCAGTGTCACCGTTTCCTGCTCACGTTTATCTCTGTGGTTTTTGCGCTAAAATGAAGAAATGTTTCAAGATACTAAAGATAAGATCGTGCGCAGGAGGATGTCGCCGTTAAAAAGTACAAATAAAATGAAGATTCTTCTGCTTCTTATAAAACTGTGTCATTTTGTTTTATTTTCATTTATTTTGACAAGTTTGTGACTTTTTTTTTTTTTTTTTTGTACAGAGCAGCTCTTCTGAAAACAGGGAGAATAAACCAGGACTAAACCAGGACTAAACCATGACTAAACCAGTACTAAACCAGGTCTAAACCAGGTCTAAACCAGGTCTAAACCAGGACTAAACCAGGTCTAAACCAGTACTAAACCAGGACTAAACCAGGACTAAACCAGAACTAAACCAGGTCTAAACCAGGACTGAACCAGAACTAAACCAGGTCTAAACCAGATCTAAACCAGGTCTAAACTGGGTCTAAACCAGGACTAAACAAGGTCTACACCAGGTCTAAACCAGGTCTAAACCAGGACTAAACCAGGTTTAAACCAGGACTAAACCAGGTCTAAACAAGGTCTAAACCAGGTCTAAACCAGGTCTAAACCAGGTCTAAACCAGGACTAAACCAGGACTAAACAAGGTCTAAACCAGGTCTAAACCAGGACTAAACCAGGAATAAACCAGGACTAAACCAGGTCTAAACCAGGACTAAACCAGGTCTAAACCAGACTAAACCAGGTCTAAACCAGGACTAAACCAGGACTAAACCAGGTTTAAACCAGGACTAAACCAGGTCTAAACAAGGTCTAAACCAGGTCTAAACCAGGTCTAAACCAGGACTAAACCAGGACTAAACAAGGTCTAAACCAGGTCTAAACCAGGACTAAACCAGGACTAAACCAGGACTAAACCAGGATTAAACCAGGATTAAACCAGGTTTAAACCAGGACTAAACCAGGTCTAAACAAGGTCTAAACCAGGTCTAAACCAGGTCTAAACCAGGACTAAACCAGGACTAAACAAGGTCTAAACCAGGTCTAAACCAGGACTAAACTAGGAATAAACCAGAACTAAACCAGGTCTAAACCAGGACTAAACCAAGTCTAACCCCAGGACTAAACCAGGTCTAAACCAGGACTAAACCGGGTCTAAACTGGGTCTAAACCGGGTCTAGACCAGGTCTAAACCAGGACTAAACCAGGTCTAAACCAGGACTAAACGAGTTCTAAACAAGGTCTAAACCGGGTCTAAACCGGGTCTAAACCAGGTCTAAACCAGGTCTAAACCAGGACTAAACCAGGACTAAACCAGGACTAAACCAGGACTAAACCAGGACTAAACCAGGTCTAAACCTAGTCTAATACAGGACTAAACCAGGTCCGGGACCAGACTGGGATTGAGGCTAGGACCAGACCTGAACTTAGACCAGGACTGAGACTGGGACTGTGGTGGTTGGTAATAATCAAATAATGAATTGAGTCGTAATTTAGGAACATTTTTCTGCACTCGGCCGATTCACGACAAACTTGAGTTGGTACAGTCACATTTTCTTTGTGTTTTTGTCACTTTTGTGTTTTTCTGTTTTTCTCTCTGTTTTAGATCAGATTGGACCAAAACAGAGACACTGGGACATTTCTTGTATAAATTGGGACAAATCAGTGGTTTTGTGTAAATCTGCTGGGACAGAGACACAGACTCAAAGCTGGGACTGTCCGGGGGAAACAGGACGTGTGCCCTTCAACACTCTGGCTCCTGATTGGCTCGCTGGTTGCCATGACGCCCTGGACCAGCATGAGACGGAACTGAGAGGACGAGATGTGACAAGTTTTACATCAGCTGTCACATCCGTGTGTCACACAAGAGATAAGAACAAGTTAAAATAGAAAAACAGAACTCTCAAAGACTAGACTCA